TTTTCTTTTTAAGATTTATTTATTTTGCCAGTCAATGTTAGAGAGCAAAAGAGAGATAATCTACCATCCACTGGTTCACTCCCCAGATAGCCACAATGGCCAGGGCTGGGCCAGACTGAAGCCAAGAGCCAGGAGCTTCATCTGGGTCTCTCACTTGGGTGCAGGAGCAAAAATGCTTGGACCAAGTTCTGCTGCTTCCCCAGGCCATTAGCAGGGAGCTGGATCAGAAGTAGAGCAGTCAGGACTTCAACTGGCACCCATATGGGATGCCGGAATCACAGGCAACAGCTTTACGAGCTACACCACAGTGCTAGCCCCTGTGCTCTCCTTCTTTCCTCCCTCCTTCCTTTCTTTCCTTCTCTTTTTTCCCTTTTTCCTCTTTCTGAGAGCTACAGGTGATCCTTTAATGCTGGCTTTTTCTGTCTTTACTGCAAAGTCAATCTGTTTCCCACCTTCCCTCTGTGAGTCTGAAATGACTTTGATGGGCGCTTGATCTCCTGCATACCAGCACTATTTGTCAGAAATGGAACAGAGGTAGAGATGAGAGTGAAAGTGGGAAATAAACACACTTTAATCTTTTAAGAGGCTTAGAAGATTGTTGATAACGAATAAATAACAAAGCTAGAAGTGAGTGAACAACTGTCATTTTCTCCGCTTTCTATGTGATGGCATAGTGAAGCTGAGCACGGGGCTCTGGAGCTAGCAACCCAGTCTGAATTCCAGCTCCACCTGTCACTAGCATTTGACCTTGGGTCAGTTACTTTAATCCCACTGTGCCTCCACTGCTGCATCAGTAAAATGAGGATAAAAATAATATTTACCTCATAGGGTTGTGTGAGCTAATATACAAAACAGACTTCAGTGAGTGCCTGGCACACAGCTGGTGCTGTGGATTTGTTAGCTACCGGGTTTTCTTCTCCTCGGTCTGTGGGGATGTGGGGAAGGAAAGAGGCATTCGGGGAAATGTCAAATCCAACCTCCACTGGGCCGTTTATTTGTGATTTATGGCGAAATTACAGCTCCAGCCACATTATTTTCAGATAGAATGAAGAGCTGATTACAGTGATGCTGAGGAGAACTTTTCACTCATTTAATCACACTTTTGTGTTTGTTCATTTATTGATGAAATATTTATTTGAGGAGGGAACTAAGCATTTTGCAAGCTGCGCAGTGCAATGAATTTTCCCTATAAGGAACTTATAGTCATTTTGTTCATGACATAAAGCATGAGCAACTAACCAGAGTGGTTATGCTTAATTTTGTTAAGTTTCATTAAATACTAATTATAAATATATGGTCCAGGAAGATACTGTATGGGAAAAATTTAGTTTCTGCACCAAGAAAGGAAGGGTAAAATATATATTGAATTCCAAAGACTGAGAACAACAACAAAAGAAGAATATAAAACATTTTGGTAACACTGGGCTTAATAAAATAAATTATTAATATGAGCTTCACTCATCTATTTTTTATTTTTTAATGTGGTTGTTGAAAATTTAAAATGACATGGACTTTGCATTTTATTAATATTTGAACTGCACAAATCTAGATTTTCAAAGACAAAGGGATCAAAATTTACCTTTAAGGACTTTTAAATGTCTAATGGGCAATGTTTCAATACTGAGATCTTTGTACATCTTTAAAGCTCAAGATTTTATGTTAAAATTCTTAATGGGGCTGGCACTGTGGCATTGCAGGTAAAGCCGCTACCTGCAGTGCTAGCATCCCATATGGGTGCAGGTTCGAGTCCTGGCTGCTCCATTTCCCTGTTCAGCTTTCTGTGATGGCCTGGGAAAGCAATAGAAGATGGTCCAAGTGCTTGGACCTCTGCACCCATGTGGAATACCCAGAAGAAGCTCCTAGCTCCTGGCTTCAGATCTGTGCAGCTCTGACTATTGTGTCCACTGGGGAGTGAACCAGCAGATGGAAGACCTCTCTCTCTCTCTCTCTCTCTCTCTCTCTGCCTCTCTGTAACTCTGCCTTTCAAATAAATAAATAAATCCTTTTTTTTAAAAAAACATCTTATTTATTAAACTCTAATAAACCTTGCACAGATAGATATTTCTCTCCAAGTTCCTCTTCATGTCACCCACTATACAGGTCCTACAAAAATGCTGTGGTTATAATACTCAACATTCAAATCTCTGCAGATTGTCTCAACTGTATAATAAAAGATTATCAGGAAATAGGCCAAAATGTGAAGTGTGATTACTTCCTCATACTGGTGTCCTAAGTGATTTTTTTAAAAAAATATTATTTATTTGGAATACAGAGTTGAGAGAGAGAGAGAGAGAAGGAGAGAGAGAGAGAGAGAGAGAGAGAGAGCGTGAGAGTGTACATCTTCTATTCTTTGGTTCACTCCACAAATGGCCACAATTGCTGGGGCTGGGCCAGGCTGAAGCAAGGAGCCTGGATAATGTCATGTGGGTCTCTGATGTGGGTACAGGGGCCCAAGGACTTGGACCATCTTCTGCTGCTTTCGCAGGCACATTGGAAGTGAGCTGGATAGGAAGTGGAGCAGCTGGGACTGGACTGGTGCCTATATGGGATGCCACTGTTGCAGATGGTGGCTTTATTCAGTGCACACAATGCTGGAACCCTTTTTCCTTTTTGTTTCAATCTCCCAACAATGAAATTTAATGTTTATTCATAAAAAATGCATATCTTTAACATAATTTTATAAAATCAACAAAACAAAAATATATTTTAAAAAAGAGGCTAACTTAAAAAGGAAATACCTCAAAATATCTCAATCTACTTTTCTATATTTCTGTATTTCCAAATTTTCTATACTGATGTTACCTAAAACAATCAAATTACTAGAGGAAAACAGGGGAAACACTGCAAGACATTGGCTTAGGCAAAGACTTCTTGGATAACACTCCAAGATCACAGGCAGTAAAAACGAAAATAGACAAACAGAATTATGTCAAGCCAAGAAGCTTCTGCACTGAAAAGGAGGCAATTAACAAAGTGAAGAGGCAATTGACAGAATGGGGGAAAATATTTGCAAACTATATATTCATAATAGGGTTAATATCTATAATATATAAAGAGCTCAAGAAACTCTACAAAAACAAAACAAACAATCCAGTTAAGATCTGAGCAAAGGATAAAAACAGGCATTTTTCAAAGGATGAAATACAAATGGCCAATAGACACATGAAAAAATGCTCAGGATCATTAGCCACCATGGAAATGCAAATAAAAAGCATAATGAGGTATCACCTCACTACAGTTACAATGATTATTATCCAAAAATAAAAAAAAAATACAAAACAAAACAAAAGAAAAAACAAACGCTATTGAGGCTGTGAAGGAAAAGCTACCCCAATACACAGTTGGTAGGAATGCAAATTGGTACAACCATTATGAAAAACAATAGAGTGCTTCATCAGAAAACTAAAAATAGGTCTACTATATGATCTAGCTATCCTACTCCTGGGAGTATGTCCAAAGCAAATCAAATAAATGTATGAGAGTAATACCTGCACTTCCATGTTTACTGGCAGCTCAATTTACAATAGCAAAGATGTGGAATCAACCTATATGTTCATCAAGTGATGACTTTATAAAGAAAATGTGGTATATACACACCATGGAATATTACTCAGTCATAAAAAGAGTCAAATCCTGACATCTGCAACAAAATGGATAGAACTGGAGATCATTATGCTAAGTGAAATAAGTCAAATGCAGAAAGACAAATATGTTTTATTTATTTGTGGAAGTTAATATATAGAGAGCAAAAACATTATGTGGATGCAGTCTCATTGGGTATCTAGCTATAAATATTACTTCATAGAATCCTACCAAGTAAATGACAATATACTCTTCTTTCCACTTGTTATGATCATTGTCAAAAGTCCCTCACCTTATGGTGTTAATATCTCTGTTTTCAAGAAAAAGTAGTATATATGTGAATGTATATGATGTCTACATTTGAATGGCAAAATGTTCAAAACATTATAAAATAAAAAAGTTAAAAAAGAGCCATACATTTTGTTTAAAAAATTACAATATCCACCCACTCTTTTATCAACACAATAACAGCAATCTATGACAAGCTCACAGCCTTCATCATATTGAATGAAGGAAATGTGGAACCACTCCACAGAGATCTGGAAGCACAGAAGGATTTCCACTCTCAACACTTTTATTCAATATAGTTCTGGAAGCTTTAGCCAGAGCCCTCAGATAAGAAAAAGAAATCAAGGAGATAAAAACTGGAAATGAGGACTTAAAATCCCTGTTTGCAGGCAACATGATTCTTTATAGGGAGACCAAAAGACTTTACCATAAATTAATCGACGTACGGATTTTCTTAGAATTCCTGAAGTCATTATGTCTAGTATCTCAGATTGAACAGTGAGTACTTTAGGTTTTTGCTTCCATCTTGATATTAACACACATATTTTAATATTTTTATGATAACGGCCATCAGATAGAGTGTTTCTGCTGGAGATGAGCAGAAGGATCCCCAGGAGATATTTTAATCTGTAGGCTACTGTAGAAATGTCCACCGAAAGGAGTGCCATGTACCCCAGTCCTTTGGCAATAGACAAAGCAGCCTCCTGCACAGAGTCTAGACAAGCTCATACAATGACACACACACAAGAACAGGTGCCACTGCGCCTGGTCCCAGTTCTTTTGAGTACCCCCTGTAGTTTCTTCTCTCACTTGCTCTCTTCTCTCAGTGGCCAGACCACCCCATACTTGCCTCAGGGAAAGGAACATGGAGAGTGTGCAGAGCTGTGTGGGTATGCTCTGATGTCAGTAGTGTAGACCAGAGTACAGACACAGAGCCATACCCATTGTATGCTCTGATGGCTCTGGAAAGAGATGGGCTTTTAAAAGCCCAAGAAGGTGTGACTGTGGACCCTCGCAAGGACATACCCACACAATTTTCTTTTTCTTCATAAGGAAAGGTACCTTGTTTTCCAATTCCACGAGAAACCAGCCCCTATGGCTAAGGCACTTGTATGCACAGCAGAACTTACTGTTGGTAGTAAAGATGACTTCTCCATCCTGGGGGGTGGGGTCTGCATCCTGAACCACCTGCAAGGCTCCCACAGTCCGGACAGCAGGGTCCAAAGTGACTGAACTTTCATTCACCGTTGTGTCGCTTGCGCCTGTGATCTGGTTGGTTGGTGGACCTCCCAGAGAGCCCTCGAAGTCCGTGGGCAAGTCGTCCATGCAGTCAGCATTGGGCTGATGGGAGCAGAAAAGGTTCCATTCTTAGTGCACATCATTGACTTGGAGATGAAAAGTCAACATCCCAAATATTTTGTCTCAACAGAAAATTAACTTGTCTACTGTTTTTTAAATAAATGTGCCTTACTTTAAAAATTCCACATTTAGTTTCTGAAACATTAACATGAAAAGATCTTTCAAAATTTCCTTTTCAAAGGTTCCCTTTAGATCTAGGTATAAAGTTTTAATTCCAGCAGATCTAATAACTTATCTGAGTAATTACTTAGGGAGAGTATATGATATTTATTTATAATGATAGCATTTCTTTACATATAGAATTTACTCCCCACATATGAGAGAGCTAGCAGCTGGTAATTATTCTCAAAGAGCCACAAACTGTTTACAAATATGCTAGTGATATGAGAGTAGGAGGGGGGATAGAATGACTCACTGTGTATTGTTCATTAAAGATGCAGACATACACAAACACACACACAAAAGCACAGGGAAAAACTACTTGTAAAAACACATAAACCAAAAACAATTATATAAAAATACCAGGAAATACTCAAAATGAAATTGATCATACATCAGTCAAATCCTCTGAATTGAAATTGAAGAATCATACAGCTAGGGTGAAACCATATTGTTGAATCACCCATTGATTATAGGATACTTTGGTTCCTTCCTAGATTTGCTGACAGTTCCCCTTGTACACATTGCTATGGGACTCTTCTGCTTTATAAAGCAGTCCTCATTGTCACCAACACTGTTGAATGACTGCATTAGTGGGCAGAATCTGACTCTCTGCGAATTTGATTCTTTGGTCTTGGTTCTACTGTTTGATGTAATGTGAGTACAGTTATATCTCTTCCATAAACAAGGCTTTAAAATTGCATTCAGGGGCCGGTGCTGTGGCGTAGTAGATTGAACCTCCACCTGTGGTGCAGGAATGGGCACTGGTTCATGTCACAGCTGCTCCACTTTTGAACTAGTTCCTTGATGATGGCCTTGGGAAAGCAGTAGAAGATGGCCCAAGTGCTTGTGCCCCTGCAACCACATGGGAGACCCAAAAGAAGCAAAAGGCTCCTGAACAATGTAAGATTATCCCTCTGTCACTGACTTTTTAAAATAATGTTTATGAATTCAGGGAGAGACACTGAAATGCAATTTTATTTTACTTTTTTTTAAAGATTTATTTGAAAGGCAAAGTTACAGATAGAAAGAGAGAGAGAGAGAGAGAGAGAGAGAGAGATCTCCCATCCGCTGGTTCATTACCCAGTGGCTGTTGCCTTCTCCAACTCTTTTGGAAGTGAGCTAATTCACTGAAATTCAATTTGTGAAAAGTTAATTCATAGAATGACCAATTAATTAAATTTAGCAAACATACTTATTATGATATTTGACATAAGCAGGCATGTTTATGGACACCCTCCTCAGCACCAATCTCTACCTCCTTAGTTTATTAAGCCATGTCTCCTAGTTAATTTCAGTCTCCATTTTCTCAATAGCTATTTCACACACACACACACACACACACTCACACTCACAAGTAAAATTCTTCTTACAGCCTAAGGAAAGAATTAGAGGTTCTGCAGCATCACAATCAGATGTTTCACAGCATGGACCACCCTAATTTTTCAGCCACACCTTTAGCTTTGGATACTTAAAAACACTCACAGAAAACAGAATTAAAGAAGGGACGTTTTGTGCAAAAAATTTTGCAGCCCATGCATAATTTTCCATACTATGCACTTTCAGTGAACTTTGTGGAGACCCCAGATATGTTCCTTTATCATCGTGCTTTAGCTTATTCCATCCTGCACAGGATGTCTTATGCCCTCACCACCCCTGCTCTCTAATTCCAAGGTCTCAAATTGACCTCTCAGGGGTTCCTAATCACCCTATAATTCCCAGGCCAACCTCACATTTTCTAAGAAGTTTCCCTGTCAGGCAGTCACATTTGATCCTGCAGCACCTACAAGATTTATCTCCTACTCAATTATGGTCCTTTGCTAGTGCCTTTCCCTCCCTCCCTCACTTCCTCCCTCTCTCCCTCCTGGCCACCAAGCATTATACAGTGAAACAACCACATCATATTGATTGCTTTTAAAAAAGCTATATAACTTTATTTAATTTTTAGATCACTTGGGGAGGATGTGAGGAACATGACAGTGTGACTTATCAGGGAGGAAAGGTTTCACAAGGAGTGTGCTGAGTTAGTTGCTTTCCCATCTGTAAGCACCTACATGCAATAACAATTGACATATTTTTCAAAGGATTGTTCCCAGCCACTGACATTGCTCTCTTGTATGTTTCTTTGCTCTCAGTAGGGATGGTGTTATTTCTCTAACAGGGGGATAGAGAGAGAGTGAAGGAGCTAATTAGCTCAGTGAGACCGTCAGGAGTACCAGGCATGGATAATTTGACTTGGATAAAGAATTGGTAGACCAACCTTAAAGGACCTCACAGTTACATCCATTCTACATGGTTTATCAAATACAGTGGTATTTTGAGAAAAAACCACACACACACACACACACACACATATCTTCAAGAAGTCACAATCATAATATTTAAAAAAGATCTCAAACATTAATTCAGCTTGGCATGGGGAAATTCCCAAAATAATTCAACTGTTCAGGAGTCTTGTGAATACATCAACTACACAGGGTTTTCTGTTCGATAATCATCATCCTATTCATATCAGGAGAACAGCGGTAAGAGAGTTTGCTGGCAAATGAAAGACCCAAGTTATAAGGTACTTTAGTGGGAGATTCACTGAAGTTGTGTTCTGTGATCCTACAAAGACAGATAGAGTTCTGACTGTACAAAAGGAGAATGAAGCATTGTAATATAGATAAAAGGATAAAAAGAATTCTGATAATAGAGGATTTCCCACCACCTTTCAGTATAGGATCATATTTCTCTTGACACAAAGGAAAAAAAGTACTCATTGTTACAGAAATTTCATGATCCATGCGCTTTGCTCATTATAGAGAAATCACTTACAAAATGAAAATGTTTCCAGCTCTTGGTTTTCAACTTATAATTTTTTTGCCTTACAGCATAAGCAGGTACATAGACACCCAGTTAAAAATAATAAAAGCAAAAAACCCACAGACAACAAAACCATATACCACCTGTACATGAACAATCTAGTGTATGAAGTTTAGAACTACATCATCTGTGAACCCCCACTGTCCAAAGGCAAATAAGAGTGAAATTCAAAATACAACCGTGTGACCAGCAGCCTTTAAGATTCCAAAGATCTACAGTTCTACAAACATGGATTGAACAATTAGGATAAGTAAGGGATACACAGAAGGACACACAGCATCAATTAACAAAGAGACAGACTCTTTTCAATTTTCCTTGAATAAGAAGAAATGGAATACCAGGAGCACAGTAAAACAGCAAGGTAATTACTCTAAGCTCCACACAGAGGTTTCTGTTAGCTGAAGGACTTTCTAACTGACAAGACTGTGAGCTTCTACAGTGAGATGGAAATTGTGAGAAGGGAATAGTAATCTCACTGGTAGCATGCAGGCATAGAGCTACTCCACAGCAGAAGGGTGGAAGGGCCCCACATCCAAACACCTTCAAAGATCCTGCTTCATCTTCTCTAGGAGCAGAACAGGAGGAATGGAGGGCAGCCCACATGCCTCGGTGCCTTCTGAGAAGTGGCACATGGCATGTGCCTTTCTCTTCATGAGGATGGTCTGTACTGGGGAGTGATCTTACACGTGTGTCCTGTTCTTACATGGTTGGCCTTTAACATTTTTTGAGAAAATTCCAAAAGATGCTACTGGTGTTTCTTTTTCTGGAAGTCCAGTGTGCTAAGTAAAATCTTGTTCGGAGGTGGTAGACATCAAGGCTATGGAAAGAATGCTCAAGTGCTAAAAATGAAAAGTTACTAATTTTAGAAACAAGTCAAAGGATACCCACCAAAAACAATGAATAGCTGTATTTATAGTTAATTTAGGGAGATTATACCTCCATGGAAAAAGTCTGGAGTCAAATGCTATAGTGTTGGCTTGGCTTCACTGTCCTGGGGAAGAGCAAAATGATCGATGTGTAGGATCTTGGAAAATACCTCGAGTAACAGGAATTAGGACAAATGATGCTGCTGTCTCCTGTTGACTGTAAGATTTCTAAATGTTCTGGAGACCAAAGACACACACACACACATACACACACACGCAAGCACACACATCTACATTTCTTCTCTCCCTTAAAATAATCAGCTACAGCTAAAAATGCAAGAAGTAGAAAACCAGATTTTTTTGTTACCAGTATTGGGTAGAGACACTGGATTTTTACTGATGTTTCACATTTACTGTTATTGATTTTCACCTTGAATGCATTATGCATTTACAGGTCTGGTGAGAACATTTAATGCCTTCTCTTTAAGATCTAGCACAAAGCTATAGTCACACAAGTTGATTTGTGTTTGTTGATACTGTACAAATCAGAGTACAGCTAGCAAGGAGGCAGTTGGCACAGATGGAAAATTCAGCCCATTTATGAACTCACAATGCTTCAGGTGTTGCTGCTCCAACAGAGTCACTCTGATCTTCCTAAGATAATTGGCCCTTTGGCATTAAAGAGAACCTTTGATATGTGATCTGACATCTTGGGACTATTAAAATTCTCTTTATTGTCTGCCATTGGTAGTAAGGATGGCAGTTCAGAGGTTGCAGCAAAAGGGAGTGGGGAAGAGAGGGAAACTGTTATCTGTATTCTGTTTCTCCGGCTTCTTTTAGATAGTGCCTTATGTTTTCCTCACATCTCTCAGTAAAGCCTTCAGACATGGTGGTCCTGCCCCTGCTGGCTTAGCAGGGCTAACACACAGCTGCTGCTGTCTTCAAACAACAACAGTTTGTGAGCTTCACTTGACATGATCTTGGAAAAGTCTTTCCCTGCAGCATTAATCCAGGAGCTGGGATTCTCTTTGTACTTGAGGTTTGGGGGAGACTGGATTTCAGGAAAAATGGGACTGAGGAACCCAGCTTGAGGGAAGTGTTAGAAATAGAGGCAGTAGCCTGAGTTTCCTGTTCAGTCAAGGTCTCCACGAAGATCTGAATTAGTCAGAGGTTTTGAGCCTGAGTCTCAGTCACTGTCCTCCTCTCCCACTGCTGGAAGGGACTGGCTGGCCGTGGGCAACATCACCGGGAAGTGTGGCATGCAGATGCCTGCTGACCAAGCAACAGTGGTGAGGATGCAACAGGCCAGCAATGTGTAGCTGGCTTCTTGTGCCTCTGCTGGTGCTCACCTGTTCTCATTATGACCAGAACATACACCATCTTGACTCACAGACACACACAATGGGTCTGGTGGAAGGGTCATGCAGTCCTCAGATTGAGAACAAGTGAGGAGAGAAGTATTTTCAGACATGGGAGTTCTTTTGGGGCCTTACTGGATGATGCCAATGCTATGTGACAGGGAATACAGGAAATACAGCTAAGATGATTTCTCCCTGCTTTTGGGGGGAATGCAGAAAGACAGACATTATGAAGCTGTAGGGCTGTGCTGTGCTTACCGGGATCCCTAGGGCTTTAAGAATGTTCATCTTGCACATGGGACAGGTGCGATGGTCTAGAAGCCAGGGATCAACACAGGACTTGTGGAAAAGATGCCTGCAATGAGAACCATACATCTTAGAGCGGTGGTAACTGCAGAGACAACCTCGTCCCCTATAGCCCAGAGACTTGTCTGAAGTCCAAAGTATTTCCTGTTACACCCTGGTGTGATACAATCAAAATCTGTCTGGGTCCCAGGAGTGCCCTGTATGATTTGCTACTAGTCTTCCAAATTTCAGAAAATGTAGAGAATGTGGAATTCATGAGAATTTTCTCTTTCTAAATAGGATGAATATTTAATGGAAAGAAGGCAAGTGGGGGAAACTTGGACAGACTTTGCAGGATGACTTGATAGAGGTTAATTAAAAGAAAAAAAATCCCAAATTTCTTTTCCCAGAGTCAGAATATAACTGCAAAGTGAAGGCTTATTTCCATTAAGAGTTGGGATCTAACACAAAAAGGCAGAAGAGCTCCTGGAAGCATTTAACAACACAAATGACATTTTAAGTTGTTTTGGCATCTGGCTGTCAACTCAGAAGCCAGAGTGCAAGGCTCTGTGGTTTCATTGCGGGTAACTGCCGCTGTCCATGCATTTGATGTGCTCAACTGCCTTGCCATACTCCAGAGCCACCGATGGCCTTGTTGCGAGGGGCAGGAGAAGGGGGATCATTTAGTACATGCCGAAGGGCTTCCTAACTGAACATTATTTCAACGGGGCTTGCAAATGGCCACTGAGAGATGTCCAGAGCTGCTCGAGGCAGAAGCTTCTCTTCTCATGCACAAGCCTGCAGACTACTGGCAGAAGCAGTGGAGCTGCCAGCCTGGGGTAAGAAGAGAGCAGATGTGGCTGAGAGCTTCCATAGGACATTCCATCCGTGCCTCTCTGTCTCTCCCCTCAGTGGGGCACTATTCTCGAATAGTTCTATCCTATTCTCTCACTTTCATCTTTTTCTGTCTTCACCGAAATGAAAAGCTCATTTCTGTTGTGTTAGATGGTTTCAGGCTCAAATGCTTATAAAGTACCCTCAAGTTAGAGAAGAGCTCACAAAGTGCTGCCTCTTAAATTAAAATCAAGAAGAATTCATGTACCAAGGATGGAATTAGCTGAATTAGCTGTATACAGGATATTATCAGATTGGGTATTAGAAAAAAGGAGAGTACTAAGTAGGATGTATTATTATTTCCAGATTATTGGTTAGGATACTCTTGAAGATTAATTACTCTCTCATTCATTCATTTACCCATGTAATCATTCAGCAAGTGCTATATGCCAAGAATTGTGCTCAAAACTGAGGATCAGTGTGATGGTGATGTGGTTCCTTCCCTTAGGGAAGCAGGATAGGCAGCTGTTAGGAAAATAATATGTTGAAGTAAGAACAAGGAGTTTGATGCGTTTGTGTGCGTGCTTAGAACTAGATGATTTATCCTAGTTCTGATGTTTATGGAGGGTTTCCCTGAGGAAATGATAATGTTGAGACCTAGCTACATGGGCACTATCCACATGATGAGGCAGTAGGAAAGAAAAAAGCTGTTCAAGGCAGAGTGCAAGCATCCTGAGCTAGGCACTGGAAAGCAGTTGGTCCCATGACAACAAAGTGAGGAGTGGCATTCGGGAGCTATGGGTGTCTGGCATCCATGTCGGACAAGGCCACTCCTCACACCCCCAACAAGCAATACTGACCATCTGATGTGCAGGCTCTACATTTAGGAAGCAAGTTCCTATATCTGAACTTGTTTGCTGATTGCTATTGCTCCTGGGAAAATGCCAAACATTCTGGTCATTCATGGGAGGCAACTTTGGTCATTCATGGGATGCAGCTCTGTGCTGTGTTTACTGCACATGTGCTGGAATGAGGCTGATGGTACGGCCTATTTTAATACTTAAGTAAGTTGCTTAATATCCCCAAGCCTCAGGTGCCTCAATTGTAAGAGGGAGCTGTATCTATGCAAGCAGGGCAGTCCTTCTGAGTCCAGTCCATAGCAGCTGGCAGTGATCCTCTGATCCCCTAAGGCCTCTCTCCATATGTGCAGGTCATACTGGATTTTTTTTTCTTAAAGATTGCTTATTTGTTTATTTTACTTATTTGAAGGGAGAGAGACAGAAAGAGACAAAAGAGTCAGATAGAGACAGATCTTCTCTCTGTTGGTTCCCCAAATGCCTGCAACAGGGAGGGAACAGGCTGAAACCAGGAGCTGTGAACTCAGCAGACTCAGTCAGTGGCCTAATAGATGGGTGGCAGGACCCAACTCCTTGAGCCACCATCTGGTGCCTCCCAGGGTGCAGAAGCTGGAATCAAGAATGGAGCTGGGATTTGAACCCAGGAACTCTTTCTTTTATTTTTTCTCATATTTTATTTACTTATTTGAGAGGTAGAGTTACAGACCCAGAGAGGGAGAGACAGAGAGAAACGCCTTCTATCCACGAATGGCCACAATGGCTGAAACTGGGCCAACCTGAAGCCAGGAGCCAGGAGCTTTTTCTGGGTCTCACGCATGGGTGCAGACGCCCACGCACTTGAGCATCTTTCACTGCTTTCCCAGGACATAAGCAGAGAGCTGGATCAGAAGAGGAGCAGCTGGGACTATAGCTGGTGCCCATATAGCATGCTGGCTCTGCAGGCGAAGGCTTAGTCCACTACACCACAGCTCCAGTCCCTGAACCTAGGAACTCTGATACGGTTTGTAGGCATCCAAATAGGAACTAAACTGTTGTGTCAAATGCCTGTCCTGTGCTGGTCCTTCATCCATCTCCTCTGTGATGGAAGTTTTCATTAACCTTGCCAAAGCAGTATCACCCTGTTATTTAACCAAATATTACTGTAGGTGTTGCAATGTGGGTGTTTTGTAGATGTTATTAATATCTACAACCAACTGACTTTAAATGGAGAAAGTTATCCTCAGTAAACTGGGTGGGCCTTATCTAATTATTTGAACTCTCCTAAGAGGTTTCCTGAGAAGAAATTTTGCTTCAACCAGGCCATCAGCTCTTGCCCAAGAGTTTCCTGCCTGTGGGCCTGCCCTACAGATTTCAGACTTGCCATCCATGTTAGCCAATTTCTTGAAAACTCTCTGTATATCTGTATCTATATTTCTATATTCCTACTATTGGTTCTTTTTCTTTAGACATATCCTCCAGTTAGTAACTCTAGCTTGCTTGACTCACTTGTGCCTTCCCAACCTCTTCAAAACATGCAGTTGACGCTAGAAACATTTTCTGCATGAATGGCTATGTACCCATCCTAGGCCCAGCACTCCTCCTGCCTCTACCTGGTCACGATTCTCATTCATTCACTTTTCCTAAATATCTGTCACATTCACTGCTTTTCATTTCTCAATGTGGCTCCCTCATTCATCTCATTATCTTTTCTCTGTATTACTGCAACAGCATCCGAATCGCTCTCCACGTTGCCAGTCTTTTCCTGTTCTCTCCATCCCACTCATTGTTGCCAGATTTATCTTCTTAGAATATAGCACTGCTTACGTCACTCCCTTGCATTCTGTTCTGTGCTAAGAACGGGCACAAAGACAAATAAGACAACGTACTTCCCTTTAAGGGAGTACCACAGCTCCCAGCCTTCTTTGTTACCTTCAATGTAATGACTGCTGACAGGGCACTGTTTTCTGCCTTTTCAGTCTTAGGCTAGTTACCATTAGCTCTCTAAGACTCAATTCCTCATTGGTGAGATTTCATCTCATAGGTATGGTGTTTGTAAGTGAATGAAGGTGAACCAACAGAAGGAAGACCTATCTCTCTCTCTCTCTCTCTCTCTCTCTCTCTCTCTCTCTCTCTCTCTTTCTCTCTCTCTCCCTGTGTGTGTTATGTGTGTGTGTGTGTGTGTTTGAGTGAGTGAGAGACATGGATTGAATAATGCACATAACACGAAGCTTATAGCATAAGTCCTGGAGCAGGCATGTGTCATAGCAGTTAAGTTGCTTCTTGAGATGCCCAGGTTCCCTAATAGAGTGCCTGGCTCAAGTTCTGGCTCCTGGGTTTCCTTTTTGCTTGCCTAGTAATGAGCATCCTGGGAAGCAAAAAATGCTGACTTAAATACTTGAGTCCCTTTAACCACACTGGTGATCCAGATTGAGTTCCAGCTTCCTGGTTTGGGCTTGTTTCAGCCCTAGCTGTTGCAGGCATTTGAGGAGTGAACCAATGGTGGAAGAGCTCTTTCTGTTTGTGTCTTTGCCTTTCAAATAAAGTGAAAAAAAAATAAAGAAACCATAAGTCCTGGTACTCCTTCATTGTACGATATCAATTTTATTACTAACACTATATTGCAACTTAGCTTTAAATATTATATGGTTATTATGATTTCTACCCTTTGGTGTAATGTTTCTAATGTGAAAAGCAAGTAACTGCAAATTTAAAAAAATCCAAGGGAGAACTAAGAGCAAAAAAGAAAAAGTGCTGAAATGACACATAGGGTAGTCACACCTATTTTTTTAAAAATTTATTTGACAGAATTAGACAGTGAGAGAGAGAGAGAGACAGAGAGAAAGGTCTTCCTTCCATTGGTTCACCCCCCAAATGGCCGCTATGGCTGGCGTTGTGCCAATCCGAAGCCAGGAGCCAGGTGCTTCCTCCCGGTCTCCCCTGCGGGTGCAGGGCCCAAGCACTTGGACCATCCTCCACTGCCTTCCCAGGCCACAGCAGAGAGCTGGACTGGAAGAGGAGCAACTGGGACTAGAACCCAGCGCCCATATGGGATGCTAGCACCACAGGTGGAGGATTAACCAAGTGAGCCATGGCGCCGGCCCTTCACACCTATATTTAACATTCATTTATTTCTTAGGCCACATTTCTTTTGTTGACCATCAAATTCAGAAAGTGCATCCTTATCTTTAGGATTTCAAAACAATTTTTTCCCTTCCTAAGTGGAAGGAAAAAAAAGCCACTAGAGTAATAAAAAAAGGAATAGTGAAAGAATCTAGGATTTAACGAAATACATCAGTTTAGTAAACATCTCTAAGGCAAAATCAGTCTCAACTCTTTATTTGTGTGATTTTTTGTAGAGGACTGTCCCTTCCCATGTTTTAACAAATGCTACATGTGAGAG